TTGTTGTTGTTGTTGTTGTTGTTGTTGTAATTTTAAGGTTGCATTTTTTGGTATTCTGTGACTGAGAAAGCAGTTTTTTTTTTTTTTTTTTACTAAATTATTCTGAGTACACTTATCGTCAAAATATAATACGATGGGCAAAGAGACTTCCTAGTCAATTCATGGGAGAAGGTGTTATGGTATGTATATAGAAAAATAGAAGAACGATCTACGAAGAAAGTGAAAAAATTGAAATGAGAAAATTCACATCAGAAAACAGTAACACAGCGGAACACACAGATTTGAGTGGTTCAGCAAATTGACTACGTCCACGGAGTTGCGGAGGATTTTATTACTTTAGAAATATACGTCAGTCGATCATCTCAACTTTCAAGAGAAAGTCTCTCGCTTCCTCACTCTCTCTTCTTCTCTTTCTCTCTACACTGAGATATACACCGAAGAAGATAAACGTATAAAATAAATCATATTTTTCTTCTACTGCAAGCCAGCAAGAAGAAGTCAAGGGAGAGCAATCTTCTATTTATTTTTTCTTCTTTCTTCTTTCTTCTGCCGCAAGGAACTACTGCTTGCACTTATCTTTCTATGTTCTGTGGAAGCAGAACTGTCGAAAAAAAACACAAAAAAGGGGGACGTGCAAAATATGAAGAAGAGCGGCTCTCTTTTATCGCGAAACCTGGCACCAACAGGACCCTCTCATATCATGATCACTCAGTCGTCTCCCCAATACTATCAAAATAATAAAATAGGTCTCAACCGAGCCACCAACATTCTCTCACTTTAGGGAAGACAACTCGTCAAATTATAGTGATTTACTCAATCTTTGATGACATGACTTCACCTTATTGACATGAACTCCTTGGTAAAGATCAAAGGTCGAAAATCGGACCTTACCTACCAATCTGTAGAATTTCACCGATTGGACGAGTCCCATTGACCCACAGCTATCGAGCCGACTTTCAGCCCATTTCTGCATGGCGGTGTTCTTAGAGATTATCGTTCATCTAAGCTCACACGATAATAATTTTATATAACTTTATTGTAGCATTTTAATGTATTCTGTGACCGAGTCTATTTCACTAAATTATTTTTAAGTACACTTAGCACCAAGATATCATACTAATGCAAGTAAACTGACATACTATCACATTAATTAATTTGCCTCTTTATAATATGTTCTATGTACACATCAAGGCACATGTTAGCAGGGCTGTCAAAAACATTTAGTATTGTTGTCAGTCTCATTAACAAATTGGTGTTTTACAAATCAATCCCCTAAAAATTAAAAATAATAGAGTCCTGAGAAATTAAATTATTAATTCAATATTTTTATATTAATTATAAATCATGAATTTGAAATAAATCTTTCTTTATATTTTATTATGTTGAATGATTTATATTTTATCATAAGAAATTAAAATAATTCAAGTTAAGTATGGGTTGAGCCACACGTTAATAGGCGAATTCAAATAAATAAAAGCACGGGTCAAACTTGAACATATTCTGAGCTTGCTTAAGCTGGGCTAATGTTGTTTCATGCATCCTATACATCCTAAGTGTGAGGGAAATGATTTAATTGCATAAATGTGACCTCTAAATTTGACAATGTTAATTATTTAAAAAATGGGTGAGCATGCACGCATGTACCATATAATTCTTATACATTTTCACATTTATTGTTCTAATAACTAAATTTTTATATATATTTGTGATGTATGCGAGAAGGTCTATGACGGTAGAGTAATGAATTATCATCTTAAAGTTACACGAAAACATAGCACACACTTAGGTAATTAAAGAGAAGTAAGCAAGTGGAGACACTTCTATGTTTACAAGGAAAACCCTAGAAAATGGAAAAAATCTCATCTTTTTGCCCAGTTGAAATATTTTGTTATGTATGGTGAGTATAAATGTTTATTTTTCTTCTGAATTAGAGAAAATGGAGTTATAAAGTTGGTTGTTGTAAACATACAATGATTGTTCATTGATAATAGATGTAGTCTAGTTGTGGTTCTAAGTGATAGCAGGCTGTGAGAACCATAATCGATTATTATGGAGATTGTGGTTCATCGTAGAGATTGTAGACGTAGCGTCAGTTTTTTGTATGTCTTAGTTGAAGGCCATGGTAGTAGTTGGTTGTGTGGACCTTAAATGGTTTATTCAGGTGTGTCGTTTGACCACAGAGTTCAGAATTAAGAGTTGCATGAGTTGTGAGCCACATAGGTCATAATTAGTCAAGTTAGCCATAATGGTGAGTTGTGATAACGTCAATAAGTCGTAGTTGTCGTTGTCTGGAGTTGCGTTGTAAACCACATATGTTGTAGTTGGTTAGGTAGGTTGTAGTGGTGATATTTGACCACATTTATATGTCACAAAGACATGAAGCCGGGTGTTATGGACTACCAGGGCCAATAAGACTCGAACTCGACTAGAAAAGTCTAAGTTAGGGTTGACCCGAATATTATTTGAGTTGGGATTGAGTTAAAGAGTTCGACCATTTTATTATTCTGGTCGGGTTCGAGTTGAACCTGAAAACCCAAACATGATATGAAAAAACACAAAGTTGAAGTTCGGGTTTGGGTTAGTGGGTCAAGCTCTGGTTCAGGTCAAGTTTGGGTTGCTTTCGAGTTGAACCTGAAAACCCAAACATGATTCAAAAAATCACAAAATTTCAGGTCAGGTTCGGGTTAGTGAGTCAAGCCCGAGTTCAAGTCGAGTTCGGGTCGAATTCGATTTGAACCTGAAATCCCAAACATGCTCCGAAAAAGCACAAAATTTCATGTCGGGTTTGGGATAATGGGTCAAGGTCGGGTTCAAGTCTGGTTCTGTTTGAGTTTGAGTCTTAATTTTTTACCAGTTTGTTATAACTTATAAGTTGATGATTACGGATGACCCTTGTCCTAAAGACGTGAAATGGTTACTAGATTTTCCAAGTAACAACGTCGACTGATGGCGTCTGGTCAGCTGTGACGACGGTGGTCGTCGGAAGTCGGTGTTGGTCGCTGACGGTAGTGATGGTTAACGGCGATCAACGATTGCAGAAATGATGTTGGACTTGAGCTCCTTCTCCTCAAGTTCTCTCCCCCGCCTCCTCCTCATGTGAGGGGTGATGCTCTATTTATAGTGTTTTGAGTGCAATTAATGCAGAAAGATGAACCATTTTGATCGGACGGTCTAGAGAGCTTTCCTCGATCAGATAGTGTTTGATAGACATTTGAGTGCCTTAACGATGTCTAAATTGTGCAATCTTTGGCTCGTTGAATTTGACTTGTGAAGATGCTCGATTCGGCTATAATATCGCTAAATTTGACATATGTTTGATCTCTAAAATGTGTATGGAAATCCTCCAAAAGTGGTTTAATGATTTAATCTGGGTTTGAACTAACTCA